AAAAAGTTCGTGGACTGATGCGATAAAATTTATACTAATGTATATAGTCTGTGCTTACAAAATTTATCCGGAACATAAAACAACAAAAGTTTAAGAAATGTTGAAAATTTTAGCTTTATACGTTTGCCAAATTATTATTAAATAAAAAAGACATTATATGATCACCCGGTGCTTCATATTGTTTCTCAATGTCCTCTACCTCTATCTCATACACTTATCTTGATGAGATTCCCTTGAGTTAAGTAAGGAATTAATCATTCTAGTTTATATGACTTTACAATGAACAGCTGCTTGAAATGAATATATTCTAAATGGATCAATGCATATGAAAGATTCTCACTTTGTTATGCCAGCATATTTTACTTGTCGGAGTTCAATATCAACCACAAATGATCAACGTCACTTTTCAACGTGACTGACTTTTGACACTGAATATTTTTTGGGCATTTAAAAACAAGTACTCTGGATTTTATTTCTCTGTAGCCCGTTAAACATTTCCAAGTCTATACCAGTTTTTCCAGGGAAGAAACTTTATAGAATGTTGTGAAAAGAAACCCATTCCCCTTTTTGACGTCATTTTCAAGCCCTTAATTGTTTGGACACTCCATACAAAATTTATCATAATATTTTAAAGAACTTACAGAAAATATGAGGTAAAAATTGCAAATTTTACGGAACAAACATGTCATACCACATGCCTGAATTAACGGGATTTTTGGATGACAAATACTCATATCCAAAGCGTTTTCTCATTTATTCTCAGGTAGGAAAAAAACCGTCATGTTCGAGGTTGCGCCGCCTTGACATACCATTACTTAGAAAAACATTAAGAATTTATCAAAAAATAAAATTTATGATTTATGGTTTATTCTATAGAAAGAAAAGATGATGCTAACTTAATTGTAAAAATTCCCTATTGTACCTAAAGCTATATTAATTTCAAAATGCGAGTCCACGAACTTTTTGATAACCCCTCGTATATCAAAGTTTCAGTGAGTTTGAAGAATTACTAAGTCTTTCGCTTTCAGTGCAACTGCACAAAACTTAATCTAAATGAGAGTTTTAATAAATTATAAATTAAATTAAACTGGTAAAAGAATTGATTGTTTGCATTAAAAAATGCATGTAATTGATCCATGCAAGGATCTAACAAAAAACTTTATGCCAGTGCACTGGACTGGTAACTCATATTAAAAGAGTCGTCTTAATCTTAAGACATGCAGGCGCTGGAATATCCTAAGTTGATCTTAAGAAAAAAAAATGACCGTGCCCATGATTGATGCTTGTGGATCATCGAAATCGCCGTACTAGACGTGATAAAGTGTTCAGGGACATTGATAACCATCCTGATTGACCAAATACTGTAAAATAATATACATAAAAATATTTTTTGTGTTTGTTTATCAAATGTTTGTTTATGTTTTCCTCTCTCTCTCCTTTCAAAATATAATAAATAATAAGTGCATTTTTTTTAATAAGAATTACTAATTATGCCCCCGTAATCGAAGATTCGGTGGCATATAGTTTTTGGCTCTGTCCATCTGTCTCTCTGTCTGTCGGAAACATTTGGATTCTTTTTTCGATTCATTATGCATGCAAACATGTAAAAATAGGAAAAAATTGTGTCAACCCTAGATTTGAAAAAAAGAAAAATAGAAAGGGGGGTCCAGCCCCCAAGTGCCTGTGTGAAAGGTTTACAGAATATTAATACTATAGTTAATAACAATCTCAAAGTATCAAAGAATTTTACTAAAGTAAATCAAATTATCCGTTCTATAAATTTCGAATTTTTAAATTTCACTAATACTAATGTGCATTTTTTTTTATATCAATAGGAAATATAACCTGTATATATTCACATATTATTACTATAATTTACACCATTGGTATGAATTCCCCCTCCCCCCCCCCCCCCCCAAAAAAAAAAGGTCTCTGAAGTAAAGATTCATGATGAATCAAAGTATGTTCTAAATGGCTGTATTAACTATAGTTAAAAATCATTTAATTTTCTCTGAATACGAAGTTCAACGTAAAAAAGGATGTCAATTTATTATACAATATTATTTGAATATATTGTACAGCGTGTCTGCGCGTTTTATTCAGTGTAATAAACTTTTAATTTTCATGGATGTCCATTTTTAAATTAATGTATGATAATTTAACACTCAATCAAGCCGTCATTGTTTAGAACGAACCTAACTCAGCATTGATTTACATGCCTAAGTTTGTCGAAGAATTATCCTCAAATTTTTCTAAGATTATCTTCTGGAACATTCTTCAGACGATTCTTAGAAAAAAATTAGTAAACATACCTGCCGATACCTTTTTTTTTTTTTTGGAACAATTATATCCTCTTTTGGAAATATTTTGTGATAGGTTATCTTTGGTAAAGTGTTAAAAATGATAATTTGAGAAAAAAAAATCCATAGGTTTCATCGTTAAGGGCTGTTCAAAGGGACTAGGCCCTAAAAGAGGGATGGCCTAATTAGCAAAATTCACAGGTACTTTTGGACAGCCCCCCCCCCCTCACGAATATACCCCACAGGTCAAACAATATTTTTATGAATTTTTTTCATAAATTATTCTTCTAGTACACATTTACAATGTATTCCATTAGAAAAATCCAAAAAATAACGCAGAATTAACGTTTTACTAAAAAATCATACCCGTGGTATTATAAAATAGAGCAGTTAAGTCACTTCCATTTGTTTACGCTTGACCCCTCTTGGATATCAGGCCCGAAATATCATTTCCTAATACAGTCACCAAAATGTGTCATGATATCTTGTTTCGGTAGACATTTTTATCTTTAATCGTGCTCTCTAATTGCCCAGGCATTCCATAATAATCCGAGTATTCATCGTCAAACGTGAAAAATGCTACAAGATTTGGAAATGTCAAAGTAGAAATTACGGAAGTGATGCAAAAACGACACCTAGCGTGAAACTCTCGAGTTCTGAATGTTATAGAACTAAGGGAAAAGTCAGAGGTCTACGAAAAAGTTCGGGAAAATTTTGATTAAGAAGTCGAAATATTGATTCATTAGAATTAAATTCTGCTTAAGATTTTCGAGATGAGCGAGAGTAGTCGTCAATATTCCCTTTAAAGGATGTTATCACTGATACCAAATAGCGGTTTAAAAATCGCTTAAACATTATAATCTTGACATGTAACCCCCCTCCCCTCCACCTCGGCCGCTTTCCCTTTCTGCGTGGACATGGAATTTTCATTAAATTGTGTCTGCGGAAAGGTGGATATCCGTTAAATTAATGTGGTAGTAAATATAATATTTAGAATGATAAACTAGTTTTAAAAATAAGTAAAGACAGAAATGTGATCAAAAAATCTTCTTTTTTTCATTTGTTATAAATTCGCTACATGTATAATCAATATTGATTAATTTGGGGACGGGGGCTGTGCACGTCATTACAAGTTACCGTGTTGGAGAAAAACAATTGACCGGTTGATGAATGGTTGTACAACCCATGCAATATTTAGCAAAATTACCAAATTAAAGTGAAAGTTGCGGGTCCTTCGGATGAGACCTTAAAATCCAAGGCCCCGTGTCACGGCAGGTGTTGGCACGATAAAAATCCTTCACTGCTCAATGGCCCTGAGTGCCGAGTAAAGGTCAAAATTTGAAGCCTTTCACCGGTATCCTGTGACGTCTCTATATGAGGGAAAAATTCTCGAATGGGACGTAAAACAACATACAATCAATCAATCAATCTTGTTTACTTTTGGGATTGCTATTGATTTCATCTGTTTGGCTCAAATTTATGAACATGATAAGGGAAAAAAAATGGGCGTATTTGGCGCGTGATCTGCAGGAATCATGTGTACGAAACATTTATAGATTACATGACCACGATTTGGTCGGCTGACCACAGCTGGACAGGCTTTACAAAGTAAAATGTTACATGATTTTATTTGAAATAACATGTGAAATTGTAATATTTAGGTCCGCTTACCTTAACAATCAAATTATAACATAATAATGCTTCACATAAATAATAAACAACAACAACATAATAAGAATAGTGAAATGCAATATATTACAAGTACATGTATATTTAAGTACAAGTAGGTTGGAAGAAATGCTTTCGCTCTCGATGCAACAGAACCAGTTTTTATCTATTTTAAAATAAATCAGTACTAAAAAAATCAAACTGACAAAAGAATTGATTGTTTGCAATTGATTGTTAAAAAGGTTATGTTAATGGTCTCTTGGTCTTCTCTCCAATTTTTTTTTTTTTTTTTTTAACAAATGATTTCTTTGAATTAGAATGCATACAAATAACGTTTGAAAATCAACATGGACCAAAGTATAATATTATCAATAAGACCATATTTTGTATGTCCAGGAAAAATGTCCCCGCTGTTGTTGTACACCAACCATATGTGTTCCAGAGATAGCTAATTTCTAGAAAAACGTGTTTAAAAATGTGACATTTTGTACCAAATGAATCATCTAGCCTAATTTCAAGTTATTTTTAGCAAATAAAATACAATATCGGAAAATTATATCCCTTTCCTATTTCACAGGAACCCGTTACATCAAAAGAATGCTAAAACTTCATGTGACAGAACAATGAAATTTTCATTTTTAAAGTGCGCCCATATTCCATCCGAATGCCAATCAAAAACGCCCTCATTTTTCAAATTCTATCAAAATTTCTTGACCTCCTGGATATTGTACAAAACAAATCAAATTTCTATTTGTGAATTTATGATCAACATGTTGATGATTTGCGGGGCTGGGTTGTGTGGGTATCCACAGGGTTCACATTAAAAAAGAAAATGAACTGTTAACTCACATATTTTCGTGGGACCAAATTGATTGGTTTGAAAAGACGTTGGGGAATTCATCTCGTGATTACAGAAGTGTTGGGTTGTTATAAATATGAAATTTTACATTTCATGGAGGACATGAATTCGTGGACCCCTATAAGAATTAGTGTTCTCACAGATTCAAATAAGATTAAAAATATAAATAATCATTAGCCTCCACCACCACCCCCGCAGCCGCCGCCACATCCACCACCACCACCACCACCACCACTACATCCACCACCGCCACATCCGCCACCCCCACCACCTCCACCACCACCTCCTCCACCACCACAGCCTCCACAGCCACCACAGCCTTCGCAACCAGCACCCCCATCACTTACTGCACCAAGAGCACCCCCATCACTTACTGCACCAAGAGCACCCCCATCACTAACTGTTTCACCACCTCCAAAATGACCTCCATCTGTATCAATGACGCAATGACCTTGATCAAATCCTACAACAATATTTTCACATACAATGCTTCCAGCACCACACACAGTGCAAACATTAGGACCATATGCATGATAAATGAAGTGATTAGAGGGTGTTAGATGTAGAAGACCGGCTGCTAACATGAACGACATATCTTCATCTGGAAATCTTTCAACTCTTCGTCCACCTCTGGATATCATTTCTGATTTTAAAGAATTCCCAGGCTGCCATTCGGAGGGACGTGGCACACACAGCACATGTAGAAGAGCAATGGAAAATGACAAGGCAACAGAGTTCAGAACTTCTCCAGCTGTTGTCAACCTGCAGGTTATCCTACCAGTAGTTAAATCTATTGCACATCCTTCAAACTCTAATAGATGGTCTTGCAAAATATTAATTTCAAATCGCTTTTGGGATTGACTTTTATGATCCACTTGATAAACCTTTACTTGCAGATGACCTGTATATCCTGGAATTCCTTCTTTGCCTAAAAAAAAGAAAAAGATTTTGACCATGCTAGAATTACTAATAAAAAGTTTTATATATTCCCTTTATCCTAGCTAAGACTGACTTTCACAATAGAATATGTTTGAATATACCGCTTCGAAAAATTTGTAGAACATTGATTGGCTAAAAACAGATCACATGATGTCCTGAAATTTTCTTAAACACCATCAACGAGCAGCGGGTGTACAAAAAAATCGGGCGTAAGATTCTGTTCTACTTGTATGTGTGTCTGATGTAATTGAATGGCGACAAACAAACAGTTTGCTGAAATTTATTATACGTATCTTTAACGGTGATGAAGCAAATCTGAGAATATATGATGTTCAATAATATTTTGAATTATATTTTTTTTAAGTATGTCGAAACTTATCTTGTTTAGGGTCCTCCACATTTAGATTTGATTTTAAACGCACCGAATAGGGTTATGCAGAACTGTGTGCATATTGAAAGAAATGGTTAGTAGAGTTTAGTGCATTTTTATATATAACAGTACGAGAGAGAGAGAGAGAGAGAGAGAGAGAGAGAGAGAGAATTTTTTCTCTATTATTCCAGGCTCTCTGAATGGCTCAAACTTGATCACATAATCAAGTATTTAACAGCATATAGACTTTGTTTTACTATTTAAAGATTCTGAAATGCATATTGACTTGATGTCTCTAAAAATGGAAAACATTGTTACATCTTATCTGTTGTTACAGAATATCAGTTTATAAATAGGATTTAAAGTATAATTTTTTTTTTAAGAAGCATCAAGTAATATTAGCTATTGTGAAGTCAGCTTCATTGCTGTTTTATCTAAGAAATAAACAACGTTATTCAGTGAACATGGCGTTATGAATAGCAATTGCTCTGCTGGCACATTCCATGATGCGCGCTCGTGCATCATGGAAAATATGCCAGCAGAGCTATTGCTATTTATAATGCCATGTTCACTGTATAATCGTTGTTTATTACTTATACCTATGTATTTGCAATCTGTGATGTTGTCAAGAATATCAGAGGAAATCCTAGCTTACATAAGGGTACGGCTGCTTGTCTCCAGTAAAGAAAAAAATGACAATAAAACGAGAAGACCTGATTAATCAATCTTTTCTTAATAAATCACAAATAATATATATGGTAGTTGCAATTGCTTCTCAGTCATAGTTATCTGGATACATGCCATGATGAGATATATACCGCGTCGTCTTCAAATTCTCATAGATCTATTTTTTTTGTTTTTTGTTTTGATGCAGTGTGGACGTCATCGTTCAAAGTATTGAAAATTAACAATTTGACAGTAGGATAAAAAAGAGAGTACTTTTATACTGATTTTAATTTAAGAATGTTTTTAAGTTCTTAAAAATTTATTTAATGAGCTGAAATCATTCTTAAAATAGATGTTCTATTACAGAAAATTTGTTTCATCTGAACGTGAAATACCCTAGCGTGAAGAGTTATAATTCTTTGCAAAAATATGCATAAATTAATATGAACAGAAAAAATAAAGATATAGCAGTTCTTTTAAATTTTTAAAAAGTTTTATTATACAATGAAATACATTGACCGAAATTTAGTTTTTAAAGGTATAAGTCAGCAATTCTAATCATTTTGCATTTCTTTTTTTCCTGAGAATATTATTAAAACTAAGATTTATTCCTTTTGCAGAACATTTGATATATATACTTCTGAACGCGCTTTATCAGTGGATTAGCTTGTACTGTGCGAATATGAGACAAGAATTGCACTCATTACGGAACAAGTTGCGTCTCTTGTCCTATGAAAGCAACTGAAGAGTGCAGGTTTATAGTGGGAAAGGACATGTACAGTAGATATGCAAATATAGATAATTTCCATTATTAGAAACATCTAGTCGATATGCGTTTCAGAATCCTTAAATGGTAACACAAGTCAATATGCTGTTATATAATTGATCATGTAATCAAGTTTGAGCCAATCAGAGAGTTTGGAATAATCGATAAAAATTATATATATATATATATATATATATATATATATATATATATATATATATATATATATATATATATATATATATATATATATATATACACTTAACAAAACTTCTAAGTGTTCACTCTAATAAATGTATTTATTTAAAAACTACATGATGGAATGGTATGATATTTTCAAATTATTATAACCAATGAGACTTCTCAACAATTGTCGAAAGAAAATCACTTATCACCGATGAAAACCAATGTCCCGTGACGAAGCTTAAAAAACAATAAATCTGTACTCTGCGACACGTGCTTTGTGTAATCAGCTTCTTTTTGTGATCATTATCAATTTTTAACAACTGGTTTAACTAAAAAAACACAAAACATGGGCAAAATGACCATTGAGGGGGGAGGGAGAGCCGTTGGAACGTTGATATCTGGATCATCCTTATGACACGTTTTACTAACTTTTATTTTACTGTTTATTTGTCCTTGATATTACTTTTAAAGATTAACAACCAGTATAAAAATCCATTTAAACACATTTTTCTATAGGTTATGTCTCATTTTTATCGTAAACTTATCCCAATTTGAAAGCTTTGGACAAAATTTAACCAAACCGGAAGTGATCTGGATCTTCGTCTGAGGCCAAGGTTTCGCGTCACAATCAGGTTAAAAGATTGTTACATGGTCCTGAACCACTTTAGAAACATTTAAATCAGCAACTTCAATGGTAAGAAAATGGCAACAAATTGGTGCTCATGGCAGTCCAATATCATCTCAAACAGTCTGAATCATCCTTAAAGAGGTACACTTACGTGCGTAACGCCCAAGAAGGGTCTAAGTGTTGACAAAAAGGCATCTGTGTGATGCACTAGCCTGCCAAATACCCGAATCTGAATCCAATTGAACACATCTGGGACTTTCAAAGTCCAAGTCCCCCCTCCCCCTTCCACACAAAATTTCAACGGTTTAGAAAGATCCATGCAGTAGGTGTGGCAGCAGATAGGTCAACCTCCTATTCAGGGGTACCATCAGTCTCACTGAGAAAAGGATGTCTTGCTATAATTTGAACGAGTGGTGGTCTTACTCCATAGAGATTATTTTATGTGAATTTTCATTTTGAGGGTACACCATGTCCTTGACACTTTGCTTTAAAGTTTGACGAGATACTTACATGAAATTTACGCAACATCGAACTGAAATACGCATCATCAACCATGAATTAAAGAAATTATTTATTGTATGCATTTGTTCTTTATAACTTAGAAAATGTTAGGTGAACACTTAGAAGTTTGGTTCAGTGTATATATATAATTTTATATATAAGGTCTATCCATAGAAAAAATCGAATTCACAGAAAAGCATATCTAACGAGCACGAAGTGCGAGGTCGATATACTTTTCTGTGAAGTCGATATATATATAAACTGACCGAATTAAAGAGCTATATTTGTTATATCATTTTTTTCAGAGACTGACAAAGCACAATTTGAAGATAATGGGAACAAGCCACAAGTTTTCTCTTCTGTCTTTTTTAATACTAAGAGACTATAGCTAGAGATCAAAATAAATTATGCTGTTTTATGTAATTGTGTTGCGTTAACGTTTATACTGATAAAGTAGTTTAGGAAATTTACTAATTCTAAAGGCTACAGTTATTTTATTATGTTTGTATCGGTTTTTGAAAAACATATCTAATATGTTTTAATATAAAGTAGATCCTTATTCAAGGCATTGTTACGTCTTACCAATTATTACAGAACATCACAATTATAAATAGGAGTTGAAGTATTTTTTTTTTCAGAAACATCAAGTCATACACTGTATTAGGTATTGTGGCTCAAGTACAAAATAAGACGAAAATAGTTCCTTTGTTTATGTTAATCTTTTTCTCGTAAGAATATCTATTTTTGCATATTCATTAACTTGAAACATTATGTATGAATATTCAGATAAAGAAATAGATCATAAATGTACAAAACAAGATATCTGTTTCGCATATTTATTTATTTTATTCATACTTGTCTACCTGTCGACCTGTCAAGATATATGAATGACAGGTCGACAGGTTGAAATTATTTTTACTGTGTATTTCGAAATCATAAAAGTGCAATTGGTTGACACTATTATTACTGTGTATAGTAAATCATAAATAAATAAAATAATTAATAAACATGCTATTATATCTTCTCGACAGGTTGACAGGTAGACAGGTCGACAGGTTGACACTACTATTACTGTGTATTTTGAGGTCATATAAGTACATTTGTTTATAATTTAATTTTGTTTGTATTCTTGCCTCTGATTGGTTAATATAAAAAAGGAAACACAAATTATTTCTGTATAACCTGGTTTGGTATGGGGACACACCCCCCTGACAACCAGCTGAATCATCTGTATCCATACAATCCTCTCATTTCCAGTCCTCGGGATTCATGGAAAATTCCAGATTTAATAAATGTACCTTTAACTTCAAACAATAATTCGATCTCAACACATGATAACAAACAACAAGACTGCTAGGCCTATGTATCAGTTTTTACCTCCCCTCGCTTCCCATCACTTCCGTTACTACGGTTGTATTATTGAGCGGCAAATTTGAACTGATGAAAAGCAACGAAATTTTACACCCATAGTTATTTAATGATTTCAAAATTAAATTATAAGGAATGACTCTAATTCTTGGCCAAATTATTCGAGTATAACCTGGTTTGGGTCAGTTTACGCTGTTTTATAATCCGCGAAGCGGATTATAAAACAGCGTAAACTGACCCAAACCAGGTTATTCGCGGATTATAAAACAGCGTAAACTGACCCAAACCAGGTTATACTCGAATAATTTGGCCAAGAATTAGAGTCATTCCTAAAATATCGTGCTATAATATCTGGTCGACAGGTCGACAGGTTGACACTACTATTACTGTGTATTTTGAAGTCATATAAGTATATTTGTTTATATCGTGCTATCATATCTGGTCGACAGGTCGACAGGTTGACACTACTATTACTGTGTATTTCGAATCATATAAGTACATTTGTTAATATCGTGCTATTATATCTGGTCGACAGGTTGACACTTCTATTAATCTGTCGACCTGTCAACCTGTTGACATGTTTACCTGTCGACCTGTCAACTTGTCGACCTATCGACCTCTTGACCTATCTACCTGTCGACCTAATACGTACAAAATAACATTTGTGTTGTTATTTTAGATGTATACATAGGTTTTATTTAATGTTTTATCCCTTCAATACTAAATTTAATCAATATGTTTGTGAATGTTCATTATAAAGTAATTTGCATTTATTGTTTTGTACAAATATTTATATTAGAATATAACCGATATAATTATTATGAATATTTATGATCTTTCACACAAAAAATTTTAATAATTTAACCGATTTACCGCAGATTATCTGGATGGGACTATTTTTGTCTTATTTCGTACTTGACCCGGTATTGTAAAACAGCAATATTGTTGTTTTACAGAAAATTATTTCCATTTTTAGAAATATCAAGTCGATATGCATTTCAAAATCTTTAAACAGTAACACAAGTCTATATGCTGCTTTATACTTGATCATGTGATCAAGTTTGAGCCAATCAGAGAGCTTGGTATAATTGAGAAAAATCATATATATATATATATATATATATATATATATATATATATATATATATATATATATATATATATATATATATATATATATATGTATATAGGTGAAGGGTACCTCGACTTCCTGGAATACCTCGTCTAAATCCGTCCCACTTCCCTTTGAGAATCAAAGAATCTCCTTCGTTGGTTTTGATGACAATGGCTCTTTCACCGGAACCTGGGTCCAGAGTTATATTGTCCGAATCTACCTTTGTAAATTCAATGACAACAATTTACTATAATATATTTCTAAAAAGGCCCGTAGGAAGCAATTTCAGTTTGGGGGTTGGGTGTGGCACAGCCATACATTTTCAGTTGGGTGAAAATTCCTTGACAAGCAATAAAAAAAAGGTCATCAGACGTTTTTATTGATGGGGCATAAGTATATAGTTGCTATAATTTCTATAGTAATCTATATATCGGCAAAATTATTGGAGGGGGCACCCCCCCCCCCCCCCCCCGTTGCCCTCTCCCCGGTTACTACGGCCATGCTAAATTAAAATATCAGTGATGCTAGTTAACATTAAGGAATTCTTATAGATTATAAAGAAGTATTAGATATTTAACCGAGTTTTCTAAGTAGGCTGTTCAGGCATAACAGGTGACAAATATAGAAATTTAGCAATTTAAATGCAACGGTTTCTGCAATTGTGTTCCCATGATACATAATTATTGTGTGCCTGCACTATATCTCGAGTTTCATGCATCTATTCTGCTTTATTCATAGAGCTCAAAAATGAAAGGAATTAAGAACTGAGATGCATATGAACCTAGGAAGGTTAACCTGATGATAGTGAAATATAATCCCCTTCCAGATCCAGCCCCTACCCCCAACCCACCCCACCCTCTAAAAATAATTTAATATAATGATCCACGTAGGCTGGTATCCTCATTCATTTTATGTTAGAATAAATTTTTATTATGACTCATTTCAATAACCCAATTCTTCAATGAATTAAACATTCGGCGTTCAGCAATGCTTAATGGCAAACCTTTCCAAAGTTGATTTGTTGAAGGGCAGAGTCAAATAAAAAAAAAAAAGCACAGAAACACAAAATTCGTGTACTATGTAGTTACAGAAAGATTTTAATTTGTATTATCTTTACTTATAAATTAATAAATTTTGCAAATTAACTCCGAAACGAGTGCACCAGAGTTCTCACTTACTCCTCTAAGAATACACTAAATACATGATGATGTCCGAAAACTATTTGTAGATTTCACTCGCATAGTAAGTATCGTACATTAAATTAAAAGTCTACTTTCATTTTCTATAAACAGCCATGAAATAGCAAAAACGTGAGTACAGTGGCGGTTCCGGTTGGCGGATCTAAGTTACTGGCAATTTTTAATGAAACTGACAACAAGCAATCGTTTATTTATTTCATAAAACGTCATCACTGAATTATTCAATCAAAACTTGATTTAAATGATATAAAAGAAAGAAGTTGGGATAACCGATTAAAAAAGGAAATGTGCAAATTATTCACCGATCTTAATATTGACGGAAGCATCTAGAACAACATATAGCATCGAGCCCGATGTTAAAAAGAAAAACGAGGCGAGCTGCATTAACATAAATAAAAAAAAAGCTTTTGTGTGAATGGTCATTGACATAATGGTAAATGATTGATAACACTATAAATTTGTGAATATATTATATATCGAAAGACTATTAGTAGGTTTTCCTAATAAATTTATCGGTAAAATTTATATATTCCTACTGAGAGCATCGTGGCAACGAACCCGAAGTACAATATGCACTTCGTAATAAACTTGCTTACATGAAAAGAGAAAATAAATGAATAACGTATTGTTCAAATACAATTAAAGCTGTAAAATTTTGTGCTTTAATCAATACATTTCAGTTTTTTTTTTCTGATTACAGTCTTTTGTATCAAATACTCGGCCTATTCATAGGGCGTTAAAAGCTAATTTTTATCTATTGAAAAAAATGTGCATATTCGCTGCTTTTATCCTTGACGGAAATGAAATAAGAGCACCTGAAGTACAATATCCGTAACATAGTATAACAGGTTTCATAATAAACGTCAATTTATGAATTTATTTTTTAAGTTTTTACAAAAGGGGGTGGAAGGGAGGGGGACGTACATCTAATTTATCTGGGATTTTGAACAAAGTATTTCTTCCTGCTATAAGCCTGTAGGCTGTCAGTAGGAACTACAATATATATTATTGGAATTTTTCTGTCCGTAGTGGTATAATTTCATTTCCCCGCGCTTGCGCAGGATTTCATCTAGTATTACTTCAAAAAAAAAAAAAACTTCACATCTGCAGTACCTGGCATTACAGGCTTACATCAACGAAAAAATGTACATGTACCTCCTTTTGGCGGGAGCTTGTAATTTCAGTTAAATTTGGTCTATGATTGGCGCTGTAGAGGAGATATATTTATGCCTGATTCTGACCTGTATAATCAATTTCAGGACTCCTGATTTGGTTTGTTTTTTTTTTTTTTTATAATATGGTTGTCAAAAGCCAAGGCGCACGCGAACGCTAAACACAAAAAAAAAAAACTTGAAATGGCCTAATGTAAGTACTTCTATAGTATATAAATAGACTATAAATAGATAATGTGGAGATAAGGATAGCATGAGTGCAGTTGCTGTAAATTTAATTTGGTTGTATTCATGTATACATGTATATTGCTTGTTTTTTAACTAATCAGTAGCCGGGAAGACAGCCAATAAATGAAAATGATGGAAAAGAGCAAAGGATAACTCATGCAGAATCTTAACATTTTGCAAAAAGAAACATCTTAAAGAAATGCATAATAAATGCGTTGATATCTTGAACTGCACTCTTCTGTAAAACGCCTGTTTCAATGTTTTAATCGAAGATTCGGGTATATAGTTTTTGCCCTGTTCGTCCGTCTGTCTAGACATTTTGATTGGTTGGGGATATGACTTTCATATTTCACATATGTATTCCTTGTGACAAGACCTTGCCTTGGGTACCAACATATTTGTCCTCTTGACATTGACCTTGGAGTTTGACCCACTTTTGCAAAAATTTACCCAATTTTAACCTTGGCCATAAGTTTTCAACAATTGGCGCTAGGGCTTTCATATTTCACATGTGTCTTCATCCTGACAAGACTTAGATGTAAATATTGTATACCTTGACCTTAGAGAGTTTGACCCACTTTAAAAAAAAACTATAACCTTGGCCATAACATTTGAATAGTTAGTACTAGGGGTTTCAAATTTCATAGGTATATTTCTTGTGACAAGACCTTCCTTTGGATACCAACCGTTTTGACCTTTTGACCTTGGAGTTTGACCTACTTTTGAAAATCTTGGACCTTCGCCATAACTTTTGAACAGTTGGTACTCTAGGGCTTTTGTATTTTGTATATGTGTATTTCTTACGTACAGGCACTTGATTCGGTAATAAATTTTCAACCCGTAGTATAAAAATAACACAAGGTACTCAGCTTCGAATTACATGGAGCACCACCTTCACCAGAATCGCACATTTGCAGAGAGCAAAATTAAAAATATGAGTGGGTTTACAAATTCAATTCCAATAGGATTAAATAATGTAGTGAATAAATTAAATTTGTTTACGCCCATCTCCCATTTTCCATAAAATATTACGATATTTTCCGATGTAATTTTAAAACAGATTTTTTAGCCAATCAAAATCTCTGCCATGGATAAGTACATACCATTTCATGGTGTGATTCGACTTTTTCAATCGGTGAGCAGAGTTTTGACGTTGTTTAAGGAAATAAAATAAAATAAAGACAAGCATGCCACATATGGTTGTGTAGATAAAATATCGTAGAAGACAATGGTAATAAACAGTTTGCCAGTTCTTTTTCTCTGAAAGTGTAAATGTGTGTGATACTGGGGATGGGATACTCCATATAACCTTGTGTTATTAACCATGGGTTAAAAATCATTACCAAATCAAGTTCCTGTGTTCTTATGACATGGTCTTCGCCTGCGTACCTTAAATTGTGCCCCTTTTGACCTTGACCATGGAGTTTAACCAACTTTTAGAAAACATTATCCTTGACAATAACTTTTGAATGGTTGGTACTTGGGCTTTCATATTTACCAGGTATATCCATGGACACACGTTCTCTCTTTGGATAACAACAATTTTTATCATTTTTCATGGAGTTCGACTTGCATTTGAGAAACTTTAACCTTCGCCATAAGGCCTTATGGAGGCATCAGTGTTCCACAAACACATTTATATGGCAAATATGATCGCGGTATGACTGAAATATATTGAGTTAACGAACAGTATTCAAACTCAAAAGTCCATTCAAACAATACAAATCAGGAGCAGAGCAAACACGGACCTCTAAAACATCAAAGATGGGATCAGGTACCATGGAGGAGTAAGCATCCCCTGCCGACCAGGTCACATCCACAGTTTCTGACTATCTTGATGAGTATTGATCAGGGAATTTAGATTATAATTATTGTTTTTCCAATGTCAGGGACGTCGAATAAATGTATTAGCCACTTAATAGCGTAGTGACTTTTTTGCTCTGGTGAACAAATATTTTTTTTAATTTTTGAATTCATATCGAAATTACCTTTCAATATGTGTCCATGTGTGTCAATTTACTTAACAATTCTTGCAACAGAAGGAAACAAAAATTACTTGAAAAAGTGAAACACTGAAAATCATACCAATGAAATAAAGATATACCTGCTTTCTCAATGGTAACTGATCAGAACCGATAATATGTGCAACTGCAGCCATTTTGTCATGATAAAACACTTGGACAACTGATGTCATAATCTTTACACAGTGTATAAAGCGACATGTAAAACTAATATTTCCAGTCTGGTCCCTCAACCTGTAAAATCATAAGGTACGTTACGATTTAAAGAAAATAAACTATTCCATATACAAAAAATACAGTATAAACAGAGTCTTTATTTAGCAAGGGTTTAATTTTGGCATCATTAGCAAGAGCGTTAAATTAGTTAATATATACCGCTAATAATTTATTTCACATCGGAGGTAAGACTTATCTTTCATGGCAGTATAAAATCGCTAAAATTAATTCTCACTTAAACTATGTACCTATTTTTTAAGAAGAATGGCTAAATCAGAGTCTCACTAAAACTTCCATTTGTACGGTACTTCGTTTTAAGTCAATGCAATTTTAACCAAAGAGACATTGTTTATTGAATAGTAATTTAGATATTTGTAAAAGATACTAGACAAATGAGTAGATACTAGTATTTTTTTTTTTTGCTAAATTGTTAAATTTTCTTACCTGTGTGAAGCTACCTGACAAATGTTTTGTGCGTCAGAATTTGGCAAAGGTACAGGACCCCAAAGTTGTTCTATGTTTGTTGGCATGTTTACATTTTCGTAGTCACCTCGCTCCAAAAATAACACAATTTCACCAAAAACGGATGAGAAAGACCCTCTGACGGAAAGTTTTGCTGTAGACAACGTGCTCACTACCTGCATATCCCTCTCAAAATGAAATTCACCACTTTTTAATGACTCGCTGATGATGAAATTAAGAGTAAATCTTTCTCTGTGTTTCCCAATAGCTTTGGATTTCCCACTAAATAGGCCGTTTCTTGTTTCCAGCCCAAAAACAAGAATTGAATCATGGGGGCCATATGAAAACTGTGTTTCCATCTTATCCCACATCATGTTCCCCATTTTTCCTGTCAATTTTTTTATCAAAGTAATTTTGCTGGACATGACGTCTAGCTTAGAAACCTTTAACTTGATATTTTTTTCACTGAGATAAGCGTTTGGTGACGTGATGGATAACTTCCGAAGAGTTACTACAGCTCCTTTTATACACATTTTGTCGATGTCTTGCTGTGTGACCTGATAGAGTTTACCTCTTGGAGAGTCGCCTCGGTACATGGCTCCAAATTTAGAAAAGGATACACAGTATGTTTCTAACCAGAGCTTTCTTGTTCTTTCATCAGACACAGATAGTTTGGATCCTGAACTTCTGTCGGTCACTGTGTCATCATGGACAAGGATTCGACCAAGAAGTGATTCTGTGACTCTTATATAATCGATTGGATGAAGTTGATGTGTGTGCCAAATGAGGTCAATATCATAACAAGGCACTAAAAATTCGTTCGGATGTTTCTTTTTTAGATGCAAGTACATCTGATATCTAACACAAGCATCTGAGAGAAATTTGTCGTCTTTGTAATGTGGAAGATGGATGTTATAAAAGAAATCTTGTTGCCGATGGATAGCTGCCAAAAGATCAAAATTAAAATGCGATTTATATTCCGTTTCTGAATCAGGTATCTTTCCATTGCAATTTCCTAGGAAAAGCTCAAACTTTTCACTAGGATAACATCTGGACCAAATCTTCTCGGTTACTTCTTTTCCATGTGGTGACTTTATTACTGAGTGATCAAGGACTCTTCCAAACAGTGACTTGCAATCCTCTGCATACCTATGTGGTGCTAGCATATGACAGTGCCAAACCCATTCTATGTCAATTGGCGGGTGTAGATACTCAGGCTTTGAGGTTTGATCATTCTGAGCAACAAGTGGAAGCCATAGGTTTTCGTATCTGTAAATAGAATATCGCAGCACTGCGTCGTTTCTAAGGTATTCCAAACTTTGGACCTCGAGTAGAAAGTCATATTCCGATTTCGATGCTTCAATAAGATCCACGCCAAACATTACTAGTGATTCCGATAATCCCGACATGACTGTACTCTTTTATCTTTAAATTAAAAATAAAACAAGAAATTATTTTTCTTTACAATACTAACGCATCTATATCATTTTTGAAAATATTTTGTTAGCGAAAGGTTTATATACCCTCCACAATATAAAGACAATTCATATAATTATTTTTCTGTTGCTATCATTTGCGTAAAACAACCCCTTTTTGAGCAGATTAAAAAAAGATTAAAACAGAAAAGAAGAGAAATATGGAATTATCTACTTTGATATATGGTATTACTCATTCATCTGTTAGCAATAGTATTGCAGGTACATGTATCTATGAATATTTTTTCCTACTTTTGTTTTTTTTTTTTCCTTCAATTTTTTAAAAAAATAAATATTACAGAAATTCGTACCAAAGCATTCTCTATTAATTCCTTTAAAAAAAACGTATAAGTAATTTGTAGATTAGAATACTGTTCTTATGAATAAACTAATACATCGTCGCAAACCACGGTCAAAATATACGATCCTTTCCCATTCTGGTCGTGGTTGAATGGGAAGAGAAAATTTTGTAGTTTATTAAAATATTGACCAATGTGTGTAAATCATAGTCGGAAAATGAACTTTGACACGACCTTTCAATACCCAATCGCAGTTTGCATAAGGGTGAATTTAAAAAAAAAAAAAGACCAAACGCATATTTATCCACCTGCACTAAAAATACAGGCAATTAGAAAAAATTTCTATGTCTCAACATATGTCTATAGATAGTGTTTAAATAACTGCCAAATATCTCATTGATATACATGTATTTCAATTCACAAAAACGTTTTGCCCAAAAATGATGCTAAAAATCTTAGTGCAACACCTTTTTGTGACATTTTGAAAATTCACTAGGATAAGCTCTGGAGTGCAACAGAAAAAAAATGTAGTGTTTGTAAACTTTGTGTGTTTTTTTTCTTTTAATTTAGAGTCTTTTTTAAGGGCTATTTAACAAATTTAACACACCCGGTGAAATGTAAACATAAACAATAACAGAACTCGTGCCCTGTTTACACACCAGTTTACGTTCCAGCGGGTGTGTTCAATTTGTTAAACTTTGCACACATCACTGAGCACGGACTGACAACACTGGTGAGTTGGTTTTGCTTCCTAACATTTCTTACTCTGAAATTTCTGGATTATATCTTTGATTTTTGTCATTAATACACAACAAACTTTCTACTTTTCTTAAGTATTAGGACAAGCTTAAAAAATTCTTTCTTTGCAGTTGCCGACCTATAATTTTTAGAGTGGGTAGATAGGTTTTTTTTTTTTTGAAAATAAGTTAGTTTTCAGACTTTTGTTAGATAACAAATTATAGAGATATTCATACTTCATAGGCTTACTAAACATAAATAAGCTTCACTTGATAAAAGCAAAAATAATAAAATGGAATACTTTCAATATCCTGAAAAACTGAAACTTAAAAAAAAAAAAAATAATAAAACAAAAAGTTTGGGTCGGGTGTATTTTCAGTGGGTCGATAGGCAACTGCAAACAAATTAATTTTTATTTTAGGCATTAAGGATAAAGTTTACTTTGTGAAAGTGCAAGGTTGTGTTAATCAAACGCTTCCCGAAATTCGTAGTTTCAATAATGTCCAGAAAAAAAATAAGTTTTCATATTATATGTCTGTGTGAAATGCTATGGCAGCATATAAGTCATGATATTATATAGAAAATTTGAAAAAATATTAACTTCAAATCTGTGTCTATGCCCATCTAGAAGATAAAATGTATTTTTAGTATATTATCCTTCACAGGACAAACACTGAAAGCAACTGAGGTCGACCAGAAACATTGTACTCATCATTTTTTTTCTTTATTTATTCATATTTGATCAGCAATAATTTAACATATTTGTTGCACTCCTGACCAAGAGCATAGGAGTCTTTGAAGTAGAATTGTGAAGCAAATATTACACCAGAACTTATTCTGTTGTTTCAGTGAAGTTGAGGTGGAATTACTTGAATTTTATAACAGTTTTTCAGTGTATTTATTTTTTTTTACATTCATTAAAAAGTCAAAGAAAAGATAAAAACACATCTGAATTGATAAAACTGAAAAAGAGAAGGATTTTAATTATAAAACTATCAATAATATAGTGCTAAATTATTCATAAAGATCATTATTAATTAAAGAATATATCTTTGCTTGAATAGAAGTCTGTTCAACATACCGGTATAACTTGAATCTTTAAAAAATATGTGTTGCACTCCTGATCATAGAAATAATCATCTGAAACACAGACAGACCCTGTAATTGATAAATCTATTTGGTAAAAATGTTCTTTGTGTCTTTATTTTCCAAAATAAAAACCAGAGAATCATATACTAATAAAACTTTTTTAGCTCATCTGAGCTGAAAGTTCAAGAGAGCTTTTCTGATCACCCATTGTCCGTCCTTCTGTCCATCCGGCCGTCCGTCTGTAAATTTTTACATTTTCATCTTCTTCTCAAGAACCACTGGGCCAATTTTAACCAATGTTGGTACAAAGCATCCTTGGGTAAAGGGAAATTTAAGTTGTTAAAATGAAGGGCCAAGCCTCCTTCCAAGATGAGATAATCAAGAAAAGACAAAAATAGGGTGGGGACATTAAAAAATCTTCTTCTCAAGAACCACTGGGCAAGAAAATCTGAAACTTATATGGAAGCATCCTGGGATAATGAAGATTCTAAATTATTTAAATCATGGCCCCCAGGGGTAGAGTGGGACCACAATAGGGAATCCAAATTTTATATTGAAATATATAGGAAAAATCTTTAAAAATCTTATTTTCAAGAACCACTGAGCCAGAAAAGTTGAAACTTATATGGAAGCATCCTGAGGTAGTGTAAAATCTAAATTATCAAAATCATGGCCCCGGGGGTAGGGTTGGGCCACAATAGGGAATCCAAGTTTTACATTGAAACATAGAGGATTTTTTTTTTTTTTTAAATCTTCTTCTCAAGAACCTATGGGTCAGAGAAACTGACACTAGAAGCATTCTGTAGAAGCTTTCTAGGCTAACTTGTATATAAGTTATTGATTAAAACTCCAAAATTTTTATTTTGACTTACGAGGGCTGTGCGGAAATTATTGAGACATTGTGTATATTCTTCTTTCTAATGGACGTCTTTCTGTGAAAATTTGCATATACGTTTGACAAACAATAAGAATTAATAAAAGCGAGAAATATTTTACAAATATTTTATATTTCTTCTTTTCAATGTTATATTAATGTGTCAATGACAGGGGTACCCGGCGCAGACACGAAGTCAGATATTGAAAATATGTAACACCAACGTTCAAATTACCAGTGGACCCGTAATAAAAGCGAAAATAATTCAATTTATATATACAGTTTTTCAATTTATTTTTAATTTTTTTTGTGCAAGTTTGTTAGAATTTCGATCAGAAATACGGTAATCACAAAAAAAAATTAAGCGTGGTAAAGAATTCTGATAACGATGACAAATTGGATTTTGACGTCAAGGCGGCGCAGCGAGCATACCTAAAATTTTGTGTAGCGCTATGGAGAGCTCTTTTCTAGACTAAATGATCTGCTAAAACAATAACATTGAGAAAAAAACATGTCTTAGGATTTTTTTTTTTCATTGGTATATATTTTTTTCTTACAAATAATTCAACCAGAGTAAAAACAAAAGCTCCGGACGACCATCGATTATTACGGACTAAATAACGTTGACCCGCGTTGCATAAGTCAACCTACCTGTATATGACACTACATGTATATTTTACGGTGGGGTAGGAACAGCAGGCATTTTATTTTATTTTTGTTTAAAGAATCTTTTAAGAAGAGACAGTTTGATTTTTGGAATGCTATATGTGATAACAGAGAAAGAAGAGTAAACGCTTCCCGATTGTTTCACATCCGAAAACATCTCCGGCTGACGTGTTGTTAAAATGACATAGTGATGCTGCTCCAGGTTGATATGTATTTTTAAAATCGATGTTTATTTGGCATGCCATTTTGATTACTCCTCGAGGCGGGCTTCAATTAAATAAAGAATCCAATACTTCATGTACACCAGTTTGCCAGTATTCCCTAAAAATACTATAGTTAGCTATAGTTAACTTTAGTTAACTATAGTTTACTATAGTATCTTTTTTTTTTACCACAGTAAATCAAAGTATTTTTACTATGGATTTCAAAAGTCCCCGAGTAAGGTTTCATAGTAAATGAAAGTATCAAAGTTTTCACTATAGATATAGTTACATGTAACTATAGTAAACTATAGTTAACTATAGTTAATTTTTGTTAGTGTTAGTGGGGTTCAAATATGATATTATTACTATTCTTTATATTCTTACTATCCATTCCTTCAAAAGTTTTATGACACCTCATTGAAAATGCTATCCTTTTAGGCCTGTGAATTTTTGAATTTTCTAACACTAGAACTCCATTAAGCGACGTCACTAAAAACCATCGAGAAAGCTGTAACCTAACAGAAAAAAAGATATGGTAGACCGAAAAAATGTGCCTATCAAATATTTGAGTAAAAAGGGAGACCTAATATTTTCATGCTTAGAATTTTAAAATAATGTGATTTGTACATTCCTATGGTTATTTTTAGTGACTTGATTATTGTTAAATTATGTTATATTAATTACTGAACACTTGCCTAGAGTTGTACAACGCGTCTGACTGTCAAAACTAAGCAAATGGGAGTTCAGGAATCTTACACCGCCTTTTGATTGGTTAATTTAGATCTTGAATCTCGAAATTCGAAACTCGTATTTCGAAACTCGAATGAGCCTTCCGGGCTTTCGTACATTCCCATACTAATAACCGCCTGTGGGCCATACATTGCACGGAAATGTCGAACATCTCTCTTACGTGTCACTCGGTACCTATGTACTGAGCTACCCAGACAGATATCCAAGGCCCATTGGCAAACAATCATTACATTCCTTCCTCCTTAAATTGTCTTCGCCCTTGAAGATTAACCCAAGTTCTTATTTCCTATGGCAGGACTTTCACCTGCAAGTCAAGGGGTGGTA